AGTTTTCACAAATTATCATTATTTTTTACATTTATTACCCTCACTTTAGATCAATTAGGCATGACACCTTTTCTTTGTTGTTTCCTGTTAAATTATCCATGTGGATGTTTTGTACTTGACCCCTTAAGATGTTCCCTAATGAGGTTTTACATTGAAAATTGCCTTAGTGTTAATAACATATCTCTCTGCTGGAAAACACAACTCATTGAGGTCTTTAGTGAGATTACGGCACCCCCTGGGACACCAAAGGCACCAGCAAATACCTGTGCTGTGGATGTCCCATTTTCCCACCCACTAAACACTTTCCATCCAAGTAAACTCCCTCATAGCTTAGACTTAACATCCTGTGGCTTTTGCCTCCCTGAATCTCATAAGGACACAGATGGTTACTAGGACTGAGACAGATGCCAGGCTTGAAATGCTTCAGCATTGATCCCTCCAGCTGCAAGACCACTGCAGTCCAGAAGATGTGCAGCACTGCTCCCACTGCTCTGAGCAAATTCATGCACATTTGGCTTTCTGACCACAGATGATGTGGCCAGAAGGCTTGGCCACATTTTGTCATATTTGCCACTTTGAGCATACCCTGAGAACCTCTAGAAAGCCTCTCCTAACTAACTCTATATGAGCTTGCAAGACTAACACCATCCTCCAATTTCCATAACATGCAGGTGCTAATGTGCTGAAAGCTTAAATGATTTTTAATTACTACCACTAAGTGGCTTTTTCCTTCCCTGAAATGACAAGGATGTTGGCTTTTAACTAAGATAAATAGAGTCACTGTGATAACAATAGATCTGAACAGGCCAGATTTAGAGGTGTGTATAGAAATTAATTTAATTCTGAGCAAATGAATAGCCTTTTTAGTCAACAAGATAAATTATGCAAATTAAGTTTTATACCCAACAAAGACTTAAGTTACAAGTTTGTTTTTTGGCACCTGGTGTTCTGTGGCTATGTCTGTAAAACAGGAGCTGCTCTGCAAGCTGTGGCATCTGACAAAGCCCACTTGTAGATCTCCACACTGCCTAGGTAAACCCTCTTTGGTCACCTTGCATTTTCATATTCACTTTACAAGTCAGCCTGAATGAAGTCACTTAGCCCATGATTCAGTCAAAGCTATTTCAGATAATGGTTTAAATCATCTTGATGAAGCCTCTCATCCCCCTCCCAAGTCCCTCTTTGACTGGACCGCAGTGGAACTGCCCCCAGTGAGGCACAGGACAGCCATCAGCTGCTTCACCGCCCTCCCTTCTCCACATACCACCATCTGGCTGGCCATGTGCTGGAATGTCTATTGTGAAATTTCCCCTACATGAGCAGGAAATCTGGGCTGCTCCATTAGGGCAGCCCTCTCTCTGCTTTGCACAGCCAGGGCCAAGGTTCCTGTCTGAACTTAGTGCTGTGGGCTTCCCAGAGGGAAGAGTACTCTAATTTTTAATTTTTTTTTTTTTTTATTCAGTGGGGGGTTTGAAATGATAAGATTTCCAGGAGTGATGGGGAGCCACAACACCCAGCCCACAGGGCAGTGTTGATGGGGGTGAGCTTCTCACCTCAGACAGGCAGGAATGCCAGTGGTGCCCTTGCTAGTACTGCTGGCACACTGGGGCTGTGCCTGCTGCCTGACTGCCACAGCAACTATGTGCCTAGTTCAAGGAAAAATGTTTGGCTCAAGGCACACAGTTCTTCAGGGAACAAGAAATTTGCCTGTACCTTAAATTATTTTGCAGCTACTTAAATAACTGCTGTGCTAGAAGCTCTGCAGGCAGTAATTATTCTTCCATTTTCTTCTATTAGGTAGCCCTGAACTGAGCCATGAAAATTGCTTTGAAATCACAGCAGACAAAGAGGAAACTTTTGGACGTAATTTATTTTGGGATGTTCCAAACCAAAGCTATCGTCCAAACCAAAAAAGAAGTCCAGCCCTGCCAAGTCCTTAATCATTGAAATGAAGAGACCACAAAACTGAATGAAAAGAGGATTGAAACAATTTTCCTACTCTGAAAAAGCCCCTTTTTTGGAGTTACTGTCAGAAGAAAATAAGGGAGCAACAAAACCCCGTAATACATCACTGATGTATCTAACTGGAGGTTACTTGCAGAGGCCAAACCTTTGAAATGGGAGCAATGCTGGAGTTTGTCCTTGCTGAGAGAGAGCTAGTATGAGGACTTTGCATTTCAGAAAATAAAGCCTTACTAGCATTTCAAGGGAAATTTCCAGCCATGTGAGAGCAAGAGTCTTCTTAAGAGCATCCACCATACTCAGCCATCTGAACATAATTGTAACATAATATCCAAACTCTTACACTTCCAGCACTAATGGACTCATCTTAAAAACATTTAGCAGGTACAGGATGACCTGTACCAGGTACAGGTATTCTTTCTAGCACAGAAGTAACAAAGAGCTCACTCTGTCAGGATGAGGTGCCATTGGGCTTGACAGAATATAAACACAGAATAACAAAGTCTCTCAACCATACAGCTTATATCTGGAAGCAGGAACAAAGGTGTATTTTAAAGCTCTGTGAATATGATCTGACAAATGGTGTAACTTCTGTTAAAAGGACCAATGTATATTTAAAATACAGATGTATCTAAGTTCTGGCAAATTAAGAGTTTAAAACTAGTCTGAAATATGATACCACAAACATGAATAAAAAAGACAACAGCAAACAAAATTGTATGACTGGGAAAGCTAGTTGGGAATGAGACTTCATTTTAGCAAATCCTGTGATACATTTGTTATGAAATACAAAATCATCTGTACTATCCCTCAAGTGGCAATCACCATCTAGCAATATTGTGTCAGCATCAAGCTGGAAAAAGTCCTGATGGGGATGCAAAGAAGCAGAGTGCAGTACATGCAGTACAAAACTGGTTTTAGCAAGAATATTTCATCTTGGGATGCAAATGTTCACAGCAGAGTTTTGCTCAAGTTACTAAATAAAAGAGCACAGTTCCTGGGAAAAAAACCTCCGCAGGCTCACCCCTCATCCCCTCCCTTCACTGCTGTTTCTTAAAGCATTTGTGTGTACTTAACTCCCCAAGACATGTTCCTTAGTGTCTCAGGGTGGGATTCAATGAGCACATAGACATCCCATTTGAGCCTGGGACCCTGCAGTCCCAGGCACCCCTGTGTCCTGCACCTCAGTGCATTTCTGCCCTCTCAATGCATCCAGTCCTACCTCCCAGTCTGCCCTCAGCCAAGTGGGTGGTAGAGGCCAGGGGAAATGCTTTTACAACTATTTCATCTGTTACATTTATTAACTTGTTCTTAAACAATCTTTGAAGCCCTCTTTTTTTTTTTTTTTTTTTTTTTTTTTTTTTTTTTTTTTTGATGTATGCTCCCAGTCAAGTGCATGGCACTAAAGCCCACTTAGCACTATTCAGTAGCATTTATTTCCTCAGGAACCATGAAAGTTTGCTTTTCCACAGAAAGAGCTTTGCTATTCTGAGCATGGAACGAGGTGCAGGACTACTCCTGGAGGTCTCACTCCCAAAAGAAGAGTAAAGCAAAACACCCTGGATGCTTCCCAGTGTAGTGCTGAGCCCAAAGAGCTCAGAGAAGAGACAAAAAGGATCTTTTCCAAGAAGGATCAGCAAAGCCTCAATTAGATGTTCTTAATACAACAGAAGGAACTCTTAAAATATTGTAAGAGTATTACAGCAGGCTCTGAGAGAGATGTACAAGATGCCTGCAGCCCACCACGCTGACCAATATTGAGGTAGATGTGCTGCAAGTGAGACTGCCTGGCCTCCAGGAGAGTTTTTGTGGGAAGATCTGCAGGGAGCAGGAACAGCTTTGAGGTGTCCAGCTGGTACAGTAGAAAAGCAGGTGAGTTCTGAGCACACAAACACCTCTTCACATCCTGACATATTGCTGTTTCCCTGTGCTCCGCTACATCGCTCCATTTGTTATTTCTCACCAGGAAAAAGCTTTGGGCCATTTCAGTCCTATGTTTCAGCAATGCTCAGACCTGAGCAGCCAAAGAATGTGGCTCCTCCATCCTACAGTTACACCACAAGTCATGAATAATAATAACACCCAGGACGTGGGTCTCTGTTACAGCTGCAGCTCAGTGAGCCTTTTGTCCTCTTTTTTCTTTATACCTCCTTGGACATGAATTCTAACTACAGCAGGTCAAAAATACAAACCAAACATTTAAAAATCACAATTCTTAACTTAGATGCCATTAAAATATACTGCCCACCTCAAACAATAGGTGATTCATTTGTGAAAGCTGATGATTTATTTATAAAGATGCAAAGTGCAAAGCTGCACCAAGATCTCAGGGCAAGAGAGTGAACCAAGCAGTGTATTATGAAGCCTTTCACTGACCCTGCAGAAGATAAAGTATTCAGGAGAGGGAGAAACTCAACAGGGAGAACATCTTGAGCCTTAGAACAAAAGCAGGTAAGGGTTTCCTTGTAATCCTCCATTTCTGTCAGAAATAAATACTTGAATAGCAATTTTAAAAATGGTGACTGGCCTTACTTATGTTATTATCAAATTTCACCCATCTTCCAAAGGGCCTTCCTCTGTTTCCCTGCTTCACATCCTTTCCCCTCAAAAGCCAAAGCCTAGATTTTTTCAGAATAGTAACCAATAAACAGAGGAATAGGAGCACTAGCAACAGGAAAGAAATGTTACCAAATTTAAATATGAAAAGTGAAGAAAAACAAAACCTTTTCAACAATGCCTAAGGAAGTCTACAAGTCCTAGGACTGGTCAGAAATTCTGTTAATCCAAGGATTGATTTTCAGCTCTAGGATACATTTTCAAATTCGGCCAAATCTGTCATTAATCATTAATGTAATACTAGTTTCTGGGTGTTCTCCTCTATACATTCAAGATTATATACATTCAAGATTAAGCACTCCAGCATGAAATTTATAACTAAACAATACAACTTTATTTGTAGAGTATTTCCATGGGTGGTGAAGTAATTCAGATGCTCTATGCATTCTCCTCACAGGGCATCCTGTGGAAACAGGAACCATGGCCAGTTTGGTTGCTGAGCTATGACATTTTCATGAGCTTCACCTGCTGCAGAGAGAAAGGAACAACCAGAGAAAGCAGTGCAGATCCCTGACTCACCATCCCCCATCCTGACAGCAGCAGAAGCACCCCAGCATCCCTCACAGACAACAGGCACAGGGGGATGGCACCAGCCCATGCCTTGATCTTCCTAGGTTTGGCCCCAGCCCATCACTACAGTCTTTACCAGAGTTAAGCCTCTACTTTTTCTTCCTTAGCAGGAATTTTCCATCAATGGTTTCAGCTGGAAACTATCCACCTTCCTGCACCAGGAGAGACAGAGAGCAGTCAGGGAGAGCAAGCCCCAAACACTACATAAGGTTTTACATTTGCCAGGTGCCCCAGTAAGTTTGCCAGTCTCCCTTGGCTGCAGGGATGGGGTCTCAGATCCACCAGCAGAGCCAGCCACTCCCATCAGAGAGCCAAACCAGCAGAAGGAGTTGTTCCTGTCGGCATCCATAGCTCTGCTGCCTAAGAATTTTCCAGCCCTTGCAGACTGGAACAAAGAGGCTTTTCACAGAGATCCAGATTGCCTCCAGAGCTTGTCCCTTCTTTATTTACAGGAAGGCCCTTAGGTTTAGTCTGGGAAGGTCTGCAGATTGCCAGGGGCCTCCAGGGGAAGAATTCTGTCAGAGAATGTATCTTGCAATGCATGCTCAAAAGGGTCTGCTTTCTGATTCATTTAATCTTCCCTGGAAATTAACTTCACAGCCCCAGCTCCATTGACTGTGCAGGATTTATCTTCACATTACATTTGCCTTTCATACCTTTATGATCTACTTTTTTCCTAAACAGCTCAATTACTTTGGATTTGTAGAGCCAAAGACTTGCAGGGCCAAGTGGGTACCTAACTAGGAAGTTCTGTGATAAGGCTGGGACAGAGGGCAGACTTCCCCTTCTGACTTCCATGTTTTTACCAGGTCTGTATCTCCAGCACTGCTGTTCAGCTGACTCCAAAGCAGGCTGCTTCAGCATTGAGGGGAGCAGTGGGAGAGTGATGCCAAGGCAGAGAAAGTAAACACACATTGCCCCTTCTGGCCACCACTATTCATATCTACTCCAGCAAAAACTGCACCACAGAAGTGTGATGAGAATGAGGGCCCAAAGCATACGTGTGTATGGATCCAGGTAACATTGGATCAAACTGCGCATCTGAGCATACTGTTTGCAGACACAGAAAAAGGCTTTAGTAACATACACATTGGTATTTAATCCTATTTAGCCACCCAAGAAGGTATTACATATAGGACTGATGAGATACATGTTAAGTTCCTGAGGCAGCAAAATTCCACCTGAAGCTTCAGATATCAACTCAGATCTGTCAAACACCCAGATGGCCCAGGACTAGGCAAAGTTCCCTTGCAAACAGGGGGAAAGGCCATTGCCTCCATCCATCTCTTTGCTGCTGTATACAAGGGGAGAAAAACAGCAATATTATCAGCTGATAACAAACTCGTATTTATCTTAGCTATCATGTACTGGTTTCCCTCAGATTACATAGAGAAGACAGATGCCTATTATTCCTGTCATCTGGCACAGGCCTTCTGCTTATGTACGTGTAGGCAATGGGCCCAGCCACTCAAGGTAGTATTATCAGACCCTACTTTTATAGATTTTCTGTAGAAAAACACCTGCAGTCAGACTCCCCAAGAGGTAGAGATATCAAATAAATAAGATAGCACTGAAGTCATGTCACCCATCTTCACCAACAACATCAGGCACATATGTAAGGACAGGACTGTATTCAAGCTATAACAATAATGGAGTATTGGAGGCATGGAGCATAGCAAGGTATTTTTAATTAGGATGGTCTCATGATAGAAAAGGAGCAAGATTTGGAATAGATTTTGTCGGGTCACCTGATACACATAGTAGACAAGTTTTCATGCACAAAATAATCAGGAAGCAGTTACTTTAATGACAGAAGAGCATCTGGTACAAAATGCTAGCAGCAGCAGTATGGAAATGAGGTAAAAAAGCATCATGGAAGAAGATTCTCATCAAATAAAAAAATCCTGCATTAGCAGGATAGGATAATTTGGGATACTTTGGAATTTTATGATCCATGCACATGTGGGATGAAATTGATACTTTTTAAAACAGTCCTGCTATCATGCTAGGATGAATTCCTGGGATGGTTTCTTGCAAAAAAAAACCACCAATACAGCGTAGCCAGAAAGAACCGCAGCACTAAGATTTCATTTTAGCGAAATTGCCATTAATGTTTTTCACCTCATGTCAGCCAACGTTTTCCTCCACTTAGAAAAAGGTAGCCTTTCATACCCTGTATTTAATTCTATTTCACCAACAGAATTCTATACCAGCTGCTCAGAGCCAATCAGTGATGCCCTTTCTTTTGTACAACAGACTGAAACACCTGTCTCTTTTATAATTACACGATTTTATTTTTGTTAGCAGTAAAATAAAGACAGTTAAATACTAACTTGGTTAAAAGAAATATCTTCACATATGAGGGACAGTAACAAATAGTTCTATTGCTTATCTCGTTCATGGATTAAAAGTCACCCTGATGCTGAGGTTAGTTTGGGTGGGACAGCATTACAAGTGTTCAAGCCATGAGAACAGCATTCTTCATACAACCACTGTTTTAGCTAACACAGTGGTTGGCCTCCCAGAGGAATCTATCAAGTAGCATCACTGTATGTTAAAGTAACTTCATCTTTAAAGCCCCCAAAGCTATAAGCATTGATGGGACTACCTGAAGAAATTAAGTGCTCAGGAACCAATTGTTCCAATGATAAAATCTTCACAGCAGCAGTCATCAAATGTTCAGAGTACTAAAAATAAGTGCACAAGGTTTTATAACAAGTAGAAAACAAAACCAAAGGTATGTTGATGAATGCAAACTACCACCATGCAAGGTTAAGTTACATTCTGACTATCGTTTCCATTGAGATACCAGGGTTTTCCAGTATTCCTCCCTACTTATCTTTAGAGACTGAGCATGCATGGAATGCAAAATGTTTTTATCTAAAGCACCAAATCCCTTAAAATACCAGACCTTTGTCCTCTCTGACCTGAAACACCAGTACGAGAACTTAAGAACAGCTAAACTAGCAGTCACTAGCCATGGCACACCTGCATTAAGCAAAGTAGAAATGTACTGCATTTCTGAATGACTCAAAAAATAAAGTAAGGGTCAGACTTGGTTTGAGACCAGAATCATACAGAATTAACTTTTTCACAAAAGATGGCAAACTAAATTCCTATTTTAAAAAATGCTAGAAAGATGTGTTTATAGAACCTTTATCACTTAGTAACCATGAGGTTAAACACATTGCTGTCTCTATTTAAAATGTCACTTATGGATATTATTTAGTCTAACCCTTCAGATTTTTTTGAGAAAATTTCTCAGCAATACAGTATTTGGCTAAGTTGTATAAGCAAAAGCACCACATGATCTTGACAGTTTTGTCACATACACTTAGGCACTGTCTGTGACAATTAGCCACACGAGGACCGGATACATGGAACAGTCACATGCCACACCACCACCCCTCCTGCAAGCACTTCTGCGATTCCCAGTGCCACCTGACTCAGATTGCAAGGAAGGTAAACCTCCTCCATTGCTCTCTCCTTGGCAAGGTATTTCAGGATCATGGCCAGGGCTGTGCTGAAGAAACTGAAGGCATGGGGCATCATTTGGGCAGGACCAAGTGAACCCCTATGTCTCCATCTGAGGGCAGAGAGGAGGGGTCTGGTAGCTGGCAATATTTAGGCTGCTGGTCATCTACCAGAAGCTACCAACACTCAGTGAGTGAGATAATCTTCAGTATGATAAAAGGAAGGCTACATGCCAGGAACAGACATTCCTTTGGGAAAACAGCAGATTTGAAAATCTGGGAAAGTCATATTTAAGTGCAAACTGATAGGGCTCAGAGCCTGGGTGAACAAGAAACAACATCCCCAAGTCACAAGAGAAAACAGACAACCTCCCATAAATAGTTCCACTTTTAGGGCTGCTCTCTGGCTCCATGTGAGGCAGGACATGCCTGAAGCTCTGCACAATTCCCAGACTTTGTGTCAGCAGTTTTCATATATGGGCAGCCTTCAGACTCCTTGACACCCTAAATCACAGGTGATTACCATCTCACACTCTGCTCCTTCCTCTCATGAAGTAACCAAGAAACAAACAGCTCAGTAAGGCTGGAAGCTAGACACTGCTTTCTGCTCATGACCAGACTCCTCTCTGGTTTTGCCTGTCCATTCCCTCCAACCCTGTTTTTGGGACTGTCCAAATTGACCATGAAGCTGCTGGACTCTCAGAAGCTCCTTTAAATTCCTGTCTATTTGCTTCCTACACCTGAGGGCTTCCACCAGCCAGGGCTAAAAAAAAAAGAGAGCATCAACATGACAAAAATGAATGCAAGCCGTGCCAATGAAAACACTATTTAAATGGGTGAATTGTCCCACCAACAAGGGCATACAAAGAAATGAAGAACAAATACAAAGCCTGCTAGGGTTTTAATTGTAACTGTCCCACCATCCTGCATCAAAGATTGTTCCCAGACATGGTAGGTAAAACATGACATTTATCTCCTGATGCAAATCCCTGACAGAATTACACTTCTGCAACCTAACAGAACAAGGGGAAAATTCAGTAATTGAATCATAGAGATGTACCTCGTAAAGCACTCAGTCACATCACCCAAAGATCCATAGCTGTCCGCCCATGCTCAGTTCTGCTCTCTCCTTAGCTCTGCCCTGCTCCTTATATAGCAATTGGCTGCACCTGTGAAGAAGGTAGGTGTGGTGGCTTCCATGCTGTCCAAATGTCCATGTACCATCTAGAATTATTTACTCCTTTCCTGCTGTGAGACAGGATTAGGAGGAAGGCAAAGCAGGCTCAAAACTTTAAAAGCGTACAAATAAAAGTTTATTAACAGTAACTAAAATAAAGAATAACAAGAATCAGAATAAAACCTTTAGAGCACTTCTCTTCCCCCTACAAATTGCTGACAGTAAGCCACTTGATTCTTTCCTAAAGC